TTTATTTATTTTGATTATTCTTCAGTCTGCTGACTATTTTCTAGCTTATATGATGAGTCAGGCGGTGTTTTGGGGGGAAAAAGAAATCCTAAAATTCAAGGTGTCTCGGTTGTTTGTACAGTTTACAGCATGTTTGTTTTACAGTTAAATAAAACAGAGAAAAGATCCTGAAACTGCAAGAATTTGGGTCACTTTTCAGATTAATTGAATAATTGTTTTAGCTCTACATCCGACTCAAATGAAATTACATCTTTAACATTTTAATTATTCAATTTGTGTGACACACTTTCAGAAACTTCTTTTGGGATTGTTGTGGCTCTCTAAGTGAGGAATAAAAAAGAAAAACCTACATTCATCTGGATCTATATAATCTGTACTTTCACTGATCTGCAGACAACAGCTGTAGTTCAAGTACAGAAGTTAATGTGAGAAATCAGCCTGAGCTCAAACACAGCGAACACACTGCACTGTCTGTGCTCCAAGCCCATTCTCTGCCTCCACTTTTCCCTCCTTCACTTTATCACTCCTTTTCCCCCTCGGTTGTTCAGTGTTTCCTCCACTCCACTGCCATGGCACCGCTCCAGTGTGTGCCTACGTATTACATTTGCGGCACGCCATCCTTCACCCCGAACGGCAGCGAAGCCCAAGTTCCCTCATTCACTTGCATTATTTACACAAACAAAGTCCTGCTCCGTTTCTGTGACAAAGCCAGCTAAATCTTTATGGCTCTTTCATGTATTGTCTCCTCACGGTTCCCTTTTGTCCCTCGGCCATTGGCCCGGGCCATGGATACAATGAGCCCGGCAGAATGGAGGCAGATTGAAGGAATGCGCCTCAATAAACCTAATTATGACATGATGACTGCGCTCACCATGGTAGGGGTTTTTCAAAGATCCCGGGCTTATTCAATTAGCCCTTTCCAGGATCCCCTTTCACCAAATAAAGTTATCCCTTTGACTGTTTGCATTGCAGAGTGGAATGTGTGTGTGTGTGTGTGTGTGTGTGTGTATGTGCGCACACACACACACACACACACGGCTGGCCTAAATGGAAATGTATTGGCCCTCAACAAGGCTCCTCTGTATTATCTGGCTAATTTCACCTAACGAAGTATGGACTCCAGAAGATACACTGTGAAAATGTGAAGCAGGAGGAGGGAGGAGGCGGGGACACCGTGACTGTTTTAATCATTAACTTTGTCTCCAGGGTTAATTACTATGACGCTGAGAGTTTGGAGGAGCTCAGCAACAGGCCTGGAGGGTCAGCCTCACTGTCCAACACACTCATGTTTGACTCAAATCGAAGCAGCAATGGGATTTTTTTAAAGCAGAAAAACTCCTCTCTGTTTTCACTCTGTGTGCTGCTTGGGAATTTGACAGATAATGTTTCATCATATTTATTTTTTATATGTCAAAAATGAGCTTTTGTGTTTTTTTCTTTATTCTTTATTTATTGAGGAGCAGCCTGGATCTACATGATGCTTAAAATTAACTATAATTGTCAGAATGTTTTCAACCCACATCCAAGAAAGATGCAAGGAATCAAAACAACAAGTGCAGATTTTTTCTTTTTAAGGACAATGGTTTGCACATTATGATAATATTCTGCTAAAGCATAAAACCCAGTTGTGTTGTTTTCACTGTTTGATGTTTAATTTGCTGACAAGCTGCGTTAACTCAGGAGGACAGCTTCACAAGTAGAGCAACTTCACAAATGAACTTCTCTAAACTGGAAGAGCCACAAAACATGCACGATCGAGCCGCAAAAGGTCAACACAGGACTTAATTATAAAACTATACGGACTGCACTGACTTTCCTTTGTGCGCTCGGTGGGACGCAGCCCAGATATGAAACGAGCTGTGCGCCGCAGGCTGAGAGAGACAGAGGGAGCGAGTAGGAAACAGAGGGAGAGGGGCGGTGTTGCTCTCCAGATGAAAGTGGGATGAAATAAAAGAGTCGATTTAATCTGCTTGAAGAGATTTGGGGAGCAAGTGGGGGTAGAGGAGGAGCGGATGGGAGGGAGGGCGGGAGGGAGGTGGGGGGACAGGCGGTTGGGTTTTCGGAGCAGTGCGCAGCGCCGGACGGGTGGCCGGGGCCCCCATTGTGAAGCTGCGCTCCGGGCCAGACCGGGGTTCTCCGGGGAGAACATTGGTCCCCATTCACCGAAAACACTCTTTAATACACTCCCTCCGTCATTAAATGTGACATGGCACAATATCGACATCATTTAGAGGACATTATTAATGTGCGAGGGGGCAAGGCCGGGACTCGTCAAAGAATCAATAATGGATCATGAGTTCGCCGACAGGCGCAGAATTACCAGCGACATCCTCGGAGGCGGAGAAGGCCGCTTGGTTTGGCTGACCAATTACAGTCAGAATATTTGGCAGTAATTAGCCTTCATCAGACGCTGCGTGGTGGGACCATGTTCCTGCGATTACGCACGAAAGTTATTCAAAGTTTACAGACGTCAGAATTTTTTATTTTAATTTTATTTTTTAAAGAATGTAGGTACACATATAATTTTTATAAAAACCCAGCAGAGAATCTAAATTCCACCTGAAATGTTCCTTATTCACTTTTCAGTGTTGTTTCAGCTTCTCGGACGTGTGCGCGCACTTTTATAACCCTGCGCCTTCATATCAGCTCAAACTCCGGCGCGTTACTTTTAGTAATTTGGACAAATGTCACCTTTTAAATATAATGCTCTATTTTCTGCGCGTGCATGAGCGCGCAGGTTTGTGTGGGGGGAGCGCGCGTCTCGGCCGCGATACGTGAGTGGATTTCAGAGGCCTCAATTGTGATGCTGAATGGCAGCCGACCCCGAAAAGGAAACATTTTGTAGGTGAAAACGGCCATTTTCTCTCGGTGAACGGGCCCTCTAAACCGTGCCGGAGCGCTCCCTGAATAATTCATCCTTCATTGCGGCCTCATAATGTGTTTTGTCGGGCTTTTTTTTTTTTTTTTTCTGTGGAGAAGCTCTGCGCTCCCCTTCTTTCTCTGGGACTGAATTCTAAACAGGTTGCCTTCTTCTTCTTCTCCTTCTTCTTCAGCGGCGGCCAAAGCTGTTTCCAAGCTGGCCTTTTGTCCGCGCGCAGCCCAAGCGTGAGCCCCAAATAGACTCTCGCGCTTTTGTCTCCCAAGTTCATCCGTGAGCGTCCCGTTGTGCGCGCGAGGCGTGTCTTTGTGCGGAGATGGAAACCGTTGAACAAATGTTTGATCAACTCATCTGGGGGACATTTTGTCTCGTCAAACCGGACCCCTTTATCTGTCCTCCGACGCAGACAACCGCGCAAACGGCGAGCGGAGGGTTAAATGCGCACAATTGGCCGCTAAACTGATTTAAAGTGTGGAAGGAGAGGAGATGGAAACTGTCTGAATGCACGTGTGACCAACATAGTTTGGACTCCGGTGCCAAATATGGGCAGATTGCGTTAGCCTGTTAAGTAATTAGATTATTAATCAGTTAGTAACTAAACGTTTAGTGACATTACTGCCGGTGTCTAAAGTTAGATTGTGCATGAATAGAGCCGATCATCGCCTCCAGTGTTCCCCTCACTTACAGCTATTCCCATTTAGCTGATCCTTTGAATCATAATTAACTTTTCTAGGGAAAATATTCAAATTGATTTAATCAAGTGAAGGCTGACAAGCGCATTACTATTTGTTTCCTCTTGCCAATCACACACAGCAGCGAGGCTGTCGCGCGTTTAAAAAAAAAAAAAAAAAAGAACGCGCGTGTGTGTGTGCGCGCGCGCGCAGTGGAGTGGAGGTTGTAATAATTTGGAAAGTACCAAATTAGACTAAACGAGCTGCCACGCGTGACCAGTTTTCCCCTCTAATGACGTAAGTAAAAAATAAAGTGATGACATTCTAAATGGGCTAATTGGGTCTAATGTAAATATGAAGTAAGAAGCCCCCAAAACCTCAGAAATGTCCAATTAGGCTTCTGTCTGTGGAGCTGCTCACAGACGGGAAATGAAGAAAATGTGCTTTTATTCCTTGGCCTGCAACACACCGTGTGCCACTCCACAGCAAACAGTCTGGCTGGTGTCTGAACACTGCAAAACGTCTCTTCTATTAGCAAAAACAAAATAAACTTCAATAAACTTTATGATAAAACATTTCCGTGCAGACCAGCTTTAAAATCTTAATTTCAGTCACTAAAATGCGCTAAAACTGTTTCTGGGTTGATTTAAATATTTTTAAATCGTTTTATAAAAATTTGATTTATTTTTTCAAACTAAATCAACCTGCACACACTCCTTACAGAGGACGCAGCACAGAAAAGAGCTGATTTGTTGCATAAAATGATGATCAGACTGTGAACTGAACGGGCCCTGAGCGCTTCCATCATTTATGAAGGCAACAGGATGACTTTCTGCTGCTGCACAACAATCCAACACTTCTCTCTCTTTCTTTTTTTTTTTTTTAATATGTGCCTCCTAATATGCGGACTTGCTGAAACATGGCCATTCATCCACACACTGCTTTTAAACCACCGCTGAACTCTCTCTCTCTCACACACACACACACACACACACGGATTCATTCTCCCTTTTCCCGCACAGACCCATCACCTGCTGTTTGATTTACGGTGCGGCCTCATGGGAAACGCATTAGCCGGAGAGATATGGTCGATAAAGAATTCCTAACAAAGGACGACACACACTCTCCACCCACATCCAACAACACCACAGCGCGCTAAAGCTTCACACACACGGCCCAGAGTAGCACCGAGTCCCTCCGCTCTCTGCTACAGCCTGCGCAAAAAGCGGTCAACAGGTTGGAGGTGTGGAGGTTGTGCTCCACAGACACTGTTCCTCTCCACTTTCTACCAATGACAGAAGATGTTTTCACCACCACACTGATATCTCCCCACACACACACAGTTCAGCAGCCGGATGCTGAATCAAACCTGATCTAATGTGTGTGAAAAACTCCAGATGAAGTTAACAGACAAACTTTTTGTTTTCAGTAAACTCGAGGAGCTCACTTACATCTGTCTCCTAAGATGCCCTCGATGCTGTGTTTGGCTCTCCGCTCGCTGTCCTCCAACTCTTTCTTGTCCATTTCATCTTCATCCTCCTCTTCGTCGCCTTTTCCTCCGAACTTACTCCGCATGATGCGACTGATGGAGCTCACTGTGAGGGTTCGTTCAGAAACAAACGGAAGATAGTTTACTACAAAGCACAAGACTTAAAACAAATACATTCACAGACTAGTAATTAGCACTGCATTGAAATACTACTAAAAGTTTTTAAAAAATATTAGGCAACTGTCAAACATCTATTTAAAAAAAATAAATGAACACTGGAAGAAGTAAAAGATATATATTAGATTTATTATAAGGGGAAATGTTTTATTAATTAATTGTTTAATTTTTATATTTTGAAAATTCAAATAGGCTATTTAATAACTTACGATATTTTTTAACTACAAAGTAAATGATAGAGATAAAATAATAATTTAAAAAATAAAATTAGTCTAATAAGAACACGAATTCATTTCTGCCCTTTTTTACCTGAAGGAACGTTGTTGCGGTCACATATCCCATCCTTCAGTAATTTATCCCGAATCTCCCAGCTAAACATACCCGGGTTTTCCCGCTTGTATTCTTCTATTCTCCTCTCTACGTCCGGCGTTGTTCCCTGCTTCAGAGGGCAGAGAAGTGTCCGTGTTTACTGACTGCATCCACACATATTATAAAATCAACAGGTTACTACATGGATTACATGCAAACATTTGTCCTAATAATGTGCGTTTATCCCGGCCTGTGGAGCCCCTCTCTGCTCCATATACCTTGGGTTTGCTGCCTCCGATGGCTCCGGGTCTGATGGAGCCCGTCTCCTGGTACCGGCACAGGATTTTGGACACGCAGCCGTGGGAGACCCGCAGCTGTCTGGAGATGACGCACGGCCTGATGCCGTGGTGGGCCATCTCCACGATCTTGTGTCGGATGTGGTTGGGCAAAGGTCTGCCATTTATGAAAACTCCTCCGAGCTGGTTGACTCGGCCTTGACCCAGCGGGGTGGACACTGATCAGAACATGAGAGCACCGTGTCACCGAAACAGCACCGGGAGCTGTAGCCAGCTGAGCCCCACATAGAGGCAAGAAGTTCTCGAGAACAAGGAAATAATTCAGTCTAAGTGCTTTAAAATAATAATAAGTGACAATAATGTTGTTGAAACTGTACGCAGCCTTACGGTTAATTATCCTATCGAGAAAATGCACAACACACACTAATGATCACAAATAGGCTCCAAACAAGTTTGTTCAAAGTTTCTAAAATTGTAAATAAAGCAGTGAGACAGAATCCAAACCCAGTGGAGCTCAAACTAAAGTCTGACCCACATGATAACATCAGAGCAGCTAGCTTCACCCATAAACTCATTCTTCATGCTCACAATGTAAACAGCAAGTTTCTACACTGAGGCCGTGACACAAGAACAGCACCAAAGCCCGAACTGAACCCCAAACATCTCCTGTCAACATCCAGGGAACCGAACCGGCCCCGTGTCAGCGCGAAGCTTTACCTTCCAGCGGGAAGCCACTGCGGGGGTAGTTCTGAGCCAGCGTGGGTCGCATCATCCTGGGTATTGACCCCGCCAACGCAGTCATACCTCCACCACCACCACCCCAGTGCCTGCGGAAACCTCCTCCTGACGGGGGAGGCTCGGCTCCTCCGAGCACCGAGCGCGCAGGCGGGCAGGAGGAGGAGGACGTCGCTAGAAGCCGAGTGGAGGAGCTTCCCGGAGGGTTAGCCTCGGTTAGCTTCGATCGGGGTTAGCCGCGCCCGGGCTACAACCGAGCAGCAGTAGCCCCGGGACAGCCTCAACCCTCTGAGGAGTCAAAACTGACGACAAAAAAAGTAGAACGTGTGACTTTGGGGCGGTAGAGGAGTCGGTTTTTCACTCCTGTCGGGTGTAAACGCCGGTGTGCAGGCTGTGGGGGACGCCGAGGCGGGCTAGCCGGGGCCAAAGTATTGTTGTTGTTGTTTGTTGACACCGGTTCAAAGTGAGAGGAGACCGTCAAAAGTAGCGGAGCTCTTCTCTCTGCCCGTCAGCGCTCCCGGCTCTGATTGGTCGAGCGGGCGCAGCCGGTACGCAGCGGGCCGCCGCGATTGGCTGAGGCGGAAAAACTTTGGTCCTATCAGAGGCGTCCGTCGCAGCTGGGCTCGGACGGGACAGGGGCGTCAATTCACATACGGCCGAGTCAGTGCGCGTTCTGTTCGACCCGCAAAAAGTCCCAAAAATCCGCTTATGTGTTCGGAGAGCTGCTGGGCGGAAAGTGGAGCCACAAGAGATGATGGAAGAGGTCTAATTATTTGGTTAATGTGATAAATTATTAGCAGGTAGCCATTTTTTTAAAATGTGTGTGTGCAGACGAACTCAGTGCTCCTGATGTAAGAGTTTTCCATTTATTTTCTGTCATTAATCATCTCCTGCTTGTGTTCTAACCGTAAAAACGAATAAAGAATATAGTTAATACCCAGACGGTGGCTAGTTTACCTAAAAGAGTGTTAAATGACAGAGACAACAGTGCAATGCAATCCCTAACAAGTTGCATTTCTCCACCTTGTGCATGTGTAATGTTTCCCTGTTTGTATTTGTGAGTGAAGTGGAAGAAAATATTAGAACCTGTTCAGACGGGTTGCGGGTCAGTGCAGCACCAGAACTAATCCCAGCCTCTGAATATTATCTGTGGCAATAATAAAAGTAGAGCCTCAGTCCCGTCAAATACTCAACATTTAGCCTCAGCTATAAATCCTGCGGGGCTACTGTGCTGTGTTGTGTTAAGGTTATGTTTGTTGCGTTATTTTTTGTATTTTATTTAGTCCAGACACATTTTCTCGACCAACTTTTATGGTAACAAGCGCTTAATATGTGGTCAGATTATTGCGCTATAAACTTTAGAAAACACTTGAATTATTGTAGTTTTATTCTGTTTCTACTGAATTCATTGCAGCTCTCAAAAAAAAAAAAGAACAAGATTTTTGGCATCATTCAAACCGACAGTAGCCTAACGCCCAAAGCCCAAACCTTTGCCTTTAAATACCTTTAAGCATTATTTTAATAAGACAATAAAAGATTCTCATCAGATTCCACTGTTGCCAAACTGTGCGTAATATCATCTCCACCGTGTTTAACGCACACGACCTCTAATTTGTTTCCACCCCGTGGCCTCATATATGACACAAATGGTGCTAAAGTGTGTGCACCTCAAGGAATTTATTGTGGTTTTCAGACTGAGCACCGGCCAGCCGAGAACAGTCTGAAGGGGGACGTGCGCCACAGCAGGATACGACGCCAGGGCGGCCGTAAAGCCAGTCTAGCTCTGCGCCACTACAGAGAGCCCGGCTGTATTTTCATCCCCCAAATGTCTAATAATCAATATTGTCACCACCCAATAAAGACAATAGGGGCGCAAAGAGTTGTTTCTTTGGAAGTCCAGCTACCTCGCTTTCTTTTAGGCGCAGAGTGTCGTGGGTCACAGCATCCTTTAGTCCCTAATCAATCACCGAGGCACAGATTCCGCTCCTGAGCTTTGAAATGAGACAAAGGCTCGTTTTCCTTCACTGTCCATCATCTGAAGAAAGGCATTTGAGAATCAGAGTGGTTTCTTGGAGTGCAAAAAACAGTCGTAGTTTTTTTAAATTTGTTTGTTTTTAGTGCACAAGCTGCAAAACTTTTTTATTCGAATAAATTCAATTCTTAATGAATTCTTGCTTTTGAACACTGCTGAGTCAGCTGTTATTAAAGTCGATCAGGTGGGGTTTTAACTAATCCACTGGGTTGTATTTAAGACAATACAGCACACTGGTAAATATTTATGATTAATTATAAGATCTGGGCCTGCTTGGAAAACCCTCCCTGTGAACGACTGAAGCTGGAGACATGCGTCCCTGCGAGGAGAAGCCCTGAAAGCTTCGCGTAACTCTTGCAAACCTAAAGCTGAAAAGCACCCCGAGCACCTGATCATCCCTTTAATGTCTCAGCCCGCTCACCTACGGCCTGCACGGAGCAATAACGGGGCCTCGGCGGGGGGGTCACTATCATTCACCTTCATTTACGCACGCAGAGCAGAGATGTCCCACAGGTTAAGTAGGTTTCAATTAACATTCGCCTCTTTTATTGGCTCTGAGGGGGGAAACGCACCTCAGATGTTGTGTTTACTGTCAGAAACGCGGGCGGACAAAGGCTGGAAGCTGAGTTTAAAATAAGCAGGACTCACGGGGGTCTTTCACCTGCTAAGGAGGGTGTCTTTATCTGCAGGAGGAAGATGATTATCATGCGTAAAGGGAACGAAACCTGCACGTTTTCATAAGAGCGCTTCAAAGGGAGGGGAAATGTGAGTTTGTTTTGAATTTTACATTTGCAATAAACCAGATAGGCTTTAATGAAGGACTTAATGGCTACAGTGTAGGAGTTATTTTAACTCTGAAAATTCAAATAAATAGAAATCTTTTGCAGGCTGCAGGCGAATAAAACTGAAAAGGTCAGTGTTGATATGTAAATTATTATGTGTGTTAAAGTTTGAAGCCCTCCGAGTAACAGAATAAATTGTGGAACAACCTGAGAGTTACACAATGTTCTGTTTGCCTTCTTTCTCCAAAGGCTTGAGCCATCACTCTTTGCGCTGACGAACGTGACGATTTGGGAGTGATCTTATTGAAATTGGATATTACAGACTTTAAAAAAAACAGAGGGGGCAAATGAAAAACAGAGAGAGAGAGAGGCATGATGCATACCTCGGCCCTTTCTTTTAAAGCGACACTGAATCTCCGTGTCCAATCCATTACCGGGGGATGAAATTCAAAGTCAGAAATCTCTCCTGATGAGAAATAAATTAGTTGCATCACATGCTCTGCGTGGAGGACATTCACAAACATGTATTTGTCGAATCAATTAGTTTTCCATCGTTCTGTTAAGGTAATAATTAATAGAAAGGGAGGCAGCGTGGGGTGGACGTGGCGCTTTACGCAAAATATTTACTTACACTTTGGAGGAAAAAAACACTTTTTACTCGACAGCATTTGTGGGTTTTTGCTGATTTAAAACTTTGCACAGTAAGAAAGATCGTGATGCATTATAGATAAAACTACCCACAAGTGTAGCTGCAAAGTTAAAATGAATTGTTAAAATTAGCTCCACCTTAATGCATCAGTAACAATAATCCACACAGTACATGTGATAAATATTAAACTCTGCTGTAATACTGCATCATGAAAAGTTTTATTTTTTATTCTGTCAGTGCTCGGTAGGTTAATATGTATTTTAACTCGGTAAACTATTTTTTATGCACATGTAATAAGGTACTTTTTTATTCATTTTTATTTATTTTATTACATTTTGTGTTTTTATTTAAACAAATAAAGATTTTTTTCACAATAAATTGAAGCAGAAAAGTGACTAAAATTATGTGATAGCAATAAAATAAACAAATGAATAAAATAGAATAATTAATTTACAGGAAGTGTGTTTTACAGATGAAGGGGTTCAGTGTGATTTTTGTATAATTTAGTTAATTGTTTACTCAGTTTAGTTCATGGCTTAAAATATATTTCCTTAAATCCTAGAGTGTATTTATTAAACAGTTACTGTCTGCAGACACAGCTGAAACACTTCACAAAGTTTTGTTGAGTGATTTAACACAATATTAATATTGTTTGAAATTTTCTTACGTAAAACTAAATAAAGCAGCTAAAAAGCTTTGAAAAAAAATAACTTTATAAGAGTCATACGCTGGCCTAAATGTCCAATGAGAGGCATTAAAATTCATTAAGCCTGCAGCCTTACAAAAACATTTTGCCTGATCTTGTTTTTTGCAATGGCTAATTTGTCAACACGCATTTGCCTCAAAGTATTTTTCCAGTAATCTGCATCTAAATGAGAAATACAGCCAGGCTGAGATACAATAGCTGCTAGTGTTGTGCTGCTACACTGGGCTGGCCAATCAGAGGTTTGTTTACATGGTTGAATAAGAGTGGAGATTATGAAAGAGATGCAGGATTTTGGAGGAAACACACTGTGTGACAGCATTAATTTATTAGCTGTGGAACGTTTGCTTGATACATGATGTGAAGTGAATTAAACCGGTAATTAGCCGGTGAATAGTCAGCGTTATCTGTTCTGCTGTTGGTGTGTGAGGGGAAAACTCCTGCTGCTGAATGGCCTGATTTATATCAACTAAATGGGAGCCTTGTGTGAACACGGCGCGAATCTCAGTGTGTGATATTAACAACACATCAGCATCCAGCCCGTACCGAAAAATGTATTTGCTTTTAATCAAGCTTCAGCCACCAGAAGTTTACACAACTGGACCTACATGAGAAATGCAACCACTGAGGGGTGGGATTTCACTCCCTTATTTTTTTGCAGAGCGTGCAGCATCCCTGGTCCTCCAGTAGGGGGCATGTTTGACGCACACCAGGGAGCTAAATGTGTCAGCTTGGATCATATTCAGTTTTATTACCAGTCATTATGTAAGAGCGAGCCTGATAAAGTACAGCCTTGGTAACAGGCCATGCCATCAGCTGCTGTCTTCCCCCCGAGCGAGACAAACGATGAAGGCGATGGGTATTCACGTTTCCTTTATTACTGAAATGTGTTTATGTATGTAAAACAGCACATAAAGACCATTTCTCTGTGCAAATACATTTGGTACTTCAACAACAACCACGGATTCTCATAAAAACCAACGACATTTTCTAGGTCCTCTGAAATAAATACAGTATGCGTACATCTTGTCAAAGGTAGACCCCGTTACTTGTGTCAAATAAGAGGGTGAAAGTGCATCATAGAGAAGTTGGGAAAAGGTTGAGCAGGATGATTGAAGCAAGCATCAGATTGAGGGTTAGGGGAGGGTTTACTGATCAAATTGCTCTTTTTTTTTTTTTTTCCTTTCCCCCTGCAGTGAGGTAGGGAGAGCAGGAGTGCTCAGGGGCTATAAGTGCTTCAGATAAAAACCACTTTGGTGTCCGAATCGCCTCTGAATTCTATATTAAATGCTGTCAGGGAGCCAGGAGATAGCACGGTGTTCCAATTCACATCCCCCACGGACCACGTTCAGCCAGTACGGGGGTCTTACGCTGGGTTTCTCTTCCACATGTAAGTGTTATAAATAAATAATAGCAAAGATTGTAGCAACAATAACATACACAGACTTTACCAACAGTTCACAGTAATAATCATAAGAAGAAGTCTGCCCACAAGAGGCCCTGGAGTTAAAAAAAAAAAAACATAAAATGGAAATGATGTTAAGTTTCAGTTTAGGAAAGTTCAATATGTGCATGTTGTTAGTGCAGGTACAGGAACACCACCAACCCTCTGAGCCCTACTCTGTCTAATCTGAGCCATGCAGCTCATGGGGCTCTTTAAGTTTCCAGAGGTAATTATGACTCCTGACAATCTCAGAGGAACCAGAGTGACACCAAATGTGTCCTTTTTTTTTATTTTTTAGGATATATCATTATTGGATTCTCACTTATGGCTTTGAAGGAAGAAGAGGAGGGAACTTGGAAGCAGCTAAACGCCTGAACTCTAACAATTATGGACTCTTTACCCTCAAAGCCACACGCAAAGAAAAAAACCCATTTTTTATAAGTATAAAAAAGGTGCTAAACGTAGGAAACCCTGTTTTCACCTTCCGATGTATAAATGATGTGACAGGAGGAGGAAATCCCTGCCGACCGCCCCGCTGGGCGCTGTCAGCGGCGGGAGGCCCGTGCATGATTCTGATCACGATTACAGTGAAGTTTTGCTTCATTCAGCAACAAGGTGAGGCACACGAGTCAGGAGACACACGGTCCCCTCCGTTAGAAAACAAGAGGAGGAACAGAAAGCCGAGGCCTTTCAGTAGCCGAACATGCACAAAAGTAGCAAAACACAAGTTCAAATTCACAAGCTATCTCTTTGTTTCCCTTTTGCCTGAACAGGTGCAGCTTTCATGGTGACTGTGGACACAGTGCCGTCCTGTAGGAGGAAGTTAAAGCACAAGGTTCAGGAAGGCTCATCACACCTATCCAGCATCGCTCACCACTCCTCTGTGGGACTATTTACAGGTTGAATCAGAGGATTCCCACATAAACATATAGAGTAAGCCTCCGTAGAAACCAGAATCCATCAGCTGACAACTCAGAAGTGAACACGGCCAAATATCTGTACAATACAATAGTGCTCTGTTGAGATATGAGTGGATCATCATGGACAGGTATCATACAGTGAGTGGCATTGTGGGATATGCATATTATTTAGCAGGTTGGGGGAGGAGGGTGTCAAACCCTGGAAATAAGCACTTCACATTCAGCCATCAAACCAAATTCAGGCTCTGAAGTTCACTCATCAACATGGCCAGTCAGCCGGGCCTACTGCAACTTCAAGTGCATCAGTTAAGGAGAAGATTACCAAGGATCATGTCGGCCTATTGCTCCAAACAACACGAAGGCCTTTGGGTGTTTGCTATACTCATAAAAGGCCATTTTGGGCGAGATTTATTCCTAGAAAAAGTAAAGGGAGCAGGAGAATCAGTTGCCAGTACTATGTACAGAATCACACACCCACAGAACAACATCTCCATCCACAGCCAGCCTGTCAGGCGTTTCTCCGCGAGTTACTGGTGGCGGACGCGCGGCCTGTCTCATGGTCCGGTCTGTATTTGAGCCAGCAGATGAGCCATGTGACCACCACCGAGAACATGGCCAGAATGCTGGCAACCGACAAGCAAATGGGTCCCGCCGGCGAGGGAGGAATGCTGTGACTGTGCACAAAGATCAGGCCCATGAACAGCAGCACCAGCATGGACAGGAAGGAGAAGATCACGCACACGCAGCCGGTGGTCAGCGCCACTCGCTTGCAGCTCTGACAGCTGTCGTAGCGCACCGAGTCCTGGGAGAGGGTCGTGGCCGTGGACACGGTGGTGGACGGGGTCGCCTGGCTGGCGCTGGACGTCCCCGACGCCTCCTCCCGGCGGAGCGCGACGAGAGCTGGGTGCAGCGGGGGAGGGTACGGCGGCAGAGCGTCCTGAGGCAGGGGGTCCGAGTCGATGTAGAGCGGAAAATCCTCCGTCACCTTGGTGTTGTTGGGCAGGTTTTGTATCCGATAATCCGGCACCGGAGTCCGGTGGCGACAGACGGGGCAGCTGATGCGCCATGGCCGCTCCTCCCGGAGGTGCAGCGTGTTCAGGCACTCCTCGCAGAACGTGTGCAGGCACTCGAGGATCTTCGGAGCCCGACGGTCAAGGTCGAAATAATTGTAGCAGATTTTGCACTCGTACTCCTCGTAGGGAAACGCCGAGGAGGCCTCGCCGGGGGGTTCCGCTCCGTTTGATGCCAGATCTACCTCTGCCATGTCATCTTTCGCCATTCACATTCTCCGGTGAACACAAAGGGAGCTGGCGGACAGATGCTGATGACGGTGCACGTCTCTCCTCCTCTCCCCCTCCTCTCCTCCCCTTTCATTGAAACGCCATCATCCCCGCAGACATTGTTGATGTGTTTTTATAATCCGCACAGCGTCCTTTATGAGGAGTCCAAACCGCCGGGATCCCTGTTAAATAATGAAAGCTGGGCTGCGGGGCTGTGCGGGGATGGATGATGTAATGGTGGTGGCTCCAGCGCGAGGACTCATCCGTCCACAGAGTCCGAGCATCCCACGGAACACGGAGAGAGGGAGACGGTGTGTCGCCTTAAAGTCCCGTTAAAGAGAGAGAGAGAGAGTGTGTGTGTGTGTGTGTTGTTGTTGTTTTCAGTGTGTGTGTGTGTGTGCAGGCAGCAGATGACAGCCGTGATCCAGCGCAATTACGTAGAGCCTGCGAACAATAGGATGCGCTAATTTGGTCAACTGGGGGCGTCAATTCACTGTTTGCTGCAACAAGGAAGAGCAAAACTCAACAGTGTAGCAGCAAAACAAAAGCACACGATGGGTCATGTGGGTCCAGCCATGGTACCGGGACATCAGCAGGCAGTTCAGCCGCGGTCAGGGCTGTTGTTGGACATGTGGGGGCTCAGATTTACTGCGTTTATTTGCGTTTTGGTGAATTTTTACGCACCGATTTGCGCCTTTTCTGAACCAAGTTACCTAAATCAGGTTCAGTGACTTGGAATATTTTCTTCTACATAATTATTTTATTATTAATTATCATCCATACTGAGACAACACACTCCTGGCCATGACCTGAACCCTTCTGTCCTTTTCAGTGTTTGGCAAAGTCACCTCTACATATGTATGAGGTCCATTTTTACATCACTGATACTTATTTAAATAATTTCTAACCCCCTGGACTCAATAAAAACCTACAAACTATTCACTCATGTTTAAAAGCTTCTGCTCATTGAGAACATATCTCACACATCTGTGGATGCATTTCTCCTCAAATCTACACCTATGAGCTCCACAGTTAGCACAAGGTCACTGTCAAGGGGAGTCAGAATGGTGCTCTGCAGAAAAAGTGGGACAGATATTTCACAAAGTCCACTCCACACTAAAAAATACGCTTCATGGCTGCCTGTAGGTTGTCTAATATCTTGTTCCAGTCCTGCACAGCTCTCACCATGACAGGGACAATGTCAGATTAACAAAACCAGAGTTCAACTGAAACAGAAGGAAGCCAGAGACTGAAATCAAAGGATATCCTTCAGTCATTTCTGGTTGTTTCGTGCAAAATAAGGTGTAAAAACACACAATAAGCTGACAGTTTGAGGAGTTTTGTGGTCAAATTGATCCCAGAGTGTGCACATAAACATTCAAATGTGTATTTTTAGAGAGATTTTAAAAACCGAGATGGGTTTTAATGATCCGAGACACACAGGCTCGACTTCATTCCATCTAAAGTACAACTTATTTGTCTAATTCATGGTTTTAAGTCACAGGAATTGAAGTAAAAAGTCATGAAATGGATCACGACACACATATATAACAAATATCAGCCTGTATATCCATATTCAAATTTTTTACCCTCTAAAAATCTGCAGCTGCTCCAAAAGTTCAGCATTGGTTGGGCTCCAGTTATTGTTATCTAAAACCAGAATACATTTCTTAGACATCAGAGCCTTCTACAGCCAAAGTTTAGCACTGATAGTGATAATGTGGTAGCAAGATAAGATAAGATAAGATAAGATAAGATCATTCTTCATTGATCCCCATATGGAGAAGTTCAGGAGTTATGAGTCATGTTGCACTGCACAGTTGAATCTGAAACCCTGCTGACCCTGATGTCTCAGTATTTCACCAGACATCAGGAAGCTAACCAGCATCCTGCAGCTGAAATGAATACGCTGAATCATGGATTTGTCAGCTGACCCCAGTGTTTGAGTCAATAAGAAATTTCCCAGATTGCAGTTTGTCAAGTTTAATTTTATTTTCAGTTTTTACAGTTTTCTGTGTCAGCTCAGCCTGTTTGGGTATTTGGCTGTTGGTCGGGTAGAATTTTTTTTTAAAAAGCCATCTGACTGCGTTATATTGATGGTATCTGAAATTTCATACACTGAACAACCAATCATTTAACAAAGAAAACTCTTGTAGAATGTGTTGATAATGAAAATAAATGTAGGTTTCAGCCCCACCGTTCCC